GAGAGAGAGAGAGAGAGAGAGAGAGAGAGAGAGAGAGAGAGAGAGAGAGAGTGAGAGAGAGAGAGAGTTCCTACCTAAATAAGATCAACAAGGGTACCCCACCCGACTGCCCGTTGTGCGACTGCCAGGATGAGACAGTACCACACCACCTCTTTACCTGCCCTGCACTTGGCGACCCTGCGTAGCACCTACCTACCTGCCTCCCCAGACATCGGAAATACTCTATACAGCGACAAAGCACAGCTGATAAATACCTGTACATTCTTTGCCACATGGACAGGCCGAAGGGCGAGAACCCAGACGGCCGCTGGATCAGAAATGTAAAGTTAGTTTTTACAAAACGCGCGCCAGTCAACCACTAGATCCAGCTTTGCTGTCAGACGTTCCTGCTAAGAAAAGTCCAATCCATGCTTACCAACTATTTTTTTTCTAAGAATCCGACAGCCATGAGACAAACCCCATACACACAGGACACATTACGACACAACACACACCTTTGGGATTGCCCAGCACAGAGATGTTGGAAGAAGCAGCCTCCGCGCTGGGTCCGCCCCCTCTCTGCCCCCTCCTCTGGTACTTGAGCCATGGCGCCTCCCACTTGCTGTCGGCCCCAGCACTGTTGGCCGACGTCGCTCCGATGCTGTTTGCCGACGCCGTTCCGATGCTGTTTGCCGACGCTGCTCCGATGTTGTTGGCCGACGTCGCTCCGATGCTGCCCCCCGTGCTTTTTTTGGCCACATTTGACCTTTTCTTGGTCTCCGACTGTTTTCCCGGCCAACTGGACTTTGCTGAGGGGAGACAAAAAAGTTTCACAAGAGTTTTACGGCACTTGCAACACACATAGGTCACATAAGTGCCCAAGATTAGGTGTGGCTAGAGAGTATCAGACAAAGACAAGAAGGAAGAGAAGAAAGAAGGATCAAAGTTTGATAGGACAGAAGGCATAAACCACAGGCGAGCACCCACCAACCAGCCACGACCCAGGAGAAATGACGTAGGCCTTTATCGGCGACATGACAGGATGAGTACAGGGTAAGGTGGGAGCTCTCCCTTCTGAACCCAACCTCTACACCAGACGCTCGTTACACACACAGATGTGTCGCAATTCCAGCTTGTTACACACACATGTTTCGCAATTCCAGCTTGTTACACACACACGTTACACACACAGATGTGTCGCAACTCCAGCTTGTTACACACACGTTACACACACAGATGTGTCGCAACTCCAGCTTGTTACACACACATTACACACAGATGTCACACACACACGTTACACACACACGTTACACACAGATGTGGCCCCACAGCACAGGAAAACCTCAATCTTCTCTCTGAACAAAACACCCAAAAGTTCTGACGTTTGGCGCCTCTCACATTTGGAGGAAGAGCTGTTGCTGTTGTTGCTGTTGCTGTCCTCCTCGACTGCTGTGCGCGTGTACTCCACCGACGGTCGCTGCTTGCCCGCATCAGACGGACGCATGCTCAGGTTGTGTCGCCTGCCTCGGCTGCTTCCGGCAGCTTTGATGGCATCAGCGTTAACCTGGGAGAGAGAGAGGGGGGCAAGATTCCAGACTTGTGTGTCTC